GACATCCCAGATTCCTCTTGTATTTTCCTGACCCAACCCTAGAATCAGCCATTTTCCAAAGATCCCTGGTTCTTTTTAGTGGACAATGGTATTTAGAAAGCAAGATCTCAATGATAGGTGTGCTTATTGCTTCTGAGGTGTTCCTGTTCCCAGCCCGTCTATGTAGGCAGAATGTGTATGTACGTGTGTGCATATACATCTACATTCATCCATCTATTAATATATATCTATCTACGTTTACTTCCAGGAGTTCATGCCTCCAATTCTGATTCAACGCTATAGACTTTGTTCCAGTTTTTCTTTCTGTATTTGTAACTACCTGAACTCCTCCCTCCTTGGTGTAGATCTCTACCTTGCTTGGGCCCCTCTAATGTCTTTAGAATTGAATCGTTCAGGAAGGAAAGTGGGAAAGAAAGAGTGTCTAAATAGTTTGGAAATAAACATCCTGTTAGCACCTGAGAACTGGCTCCGAGCCAGTCCCTGGTAGGTGGCTTAGGGTGTGCAGATATGTTGCAGAGCCTCTGTCTCAAGGAGCAGAGATAGTGAAGGATAGAGATTTTATTAATAATAAGCCACATTTATAATGAAAAAGTATGAATTATGCCCAAGGTGCTAAAGGAGCACCTTGGGAAGGACTTACTCTTCCTTAGAGAGTCCTCTTCAGTTGAGAAGTGAAGGAAGAGGAGCAGGGCTGGGGGAGGGACAAGTAGGAGCAGGAGGGAGATACAGGTGGGGGAAGCCACCTGGGAGCCACCTGGGGGCCATGTGTAGTATGGTGTCCAGGATCCACTGAAAATTTAAACAAGAAGGAACCTGACTATGTTGATTTTGGAAGAATCTACCTCTCCTGATGTAGACACTCTTGGGCTGTCTCTATAATGCTTGGGAGTGGGGCCATGTTGGATTGGCAGAAAATATTTTTTTGGGAAAAATTGTTTGATACAGTCAATGGCCAATTAGGCTGAGCTCAGTGTTCCTCCCTTTTCCTCCTTAGAAGCCCAGTACTTTTCCTTGAAAAGTATGCCTGTTACATTAGACTCTATATTTTAAAAAAATGTGTAAAATATAGCAAATATTTTGAAGTTAAATTTGAATCATTTGTACACATATCACCACTACGCTTGTAATGATTTTCTAGTAATTATTTTAAAAATAAGAGCTTAAGTCATTACTTTGAGTTATAATTTAAGAGTGTGGATTTATGCATGTTCTTTTTGTGGGCTTGAAGTTGTAAGTTATTCAAAATTGTTTGATTATGTTCTATGGAGCTTTTTATGCAGAACTCTGTAGGAGAAGCCATTGCCAGTGTATTTAAACAGTGACATCTACTGGTTAATTTGAGGCAAATTTATTTGTTAAATTCTGTGTGCCTTATTCTTACTATAAATTTCTGATAAATTGTTGTTTCACAGTTATTGTGTTTAGGAGTAGATTCAGGCTATGTCTACCCTAACTAGTAAGTTGACTTTCAATCATTAATGATAACTCTGCCATTGAAATAATCATGAATGGCTGACACAACTTGCATGAACCATTATTGCAATTGTACAGATAGACGCTTTATCTCACTGCATCATCTTTGTTTCAATATAATTTTTTTTTTCAAACTGTGAACCTGGCTCTGAAGTTAAAGGGTGACAGATATCTGGATTAGCCATCAGCTTTAGAACACAAAAGTTATGCCCAATTTGAGAGATCCTGAACAAGTTGCTTTGTTGGTCCTTAGTAGAAAGTTAGAATTTGGAAGAGGAAGTTGGAAGAGGAATTATTTCCTCTGTTTTTCATTTTACTTTTAGATACAGTTGCAACTAGCTAATAAATTTAATGTATTCTGTGTACTCACCCATGTGCTAACTGTTCAAATGTGATAAATGGTAGTAACCCAAGTTTTAATGAGTCTGTTCAACTGCAGAGATGTTACATATGAGGCAGAGAACATAATTCCAGATTCCTCATTACTCTGCTACTGGATAGAGGGCCATTGCAAACCACACTGGCCTAAGTTTTATTTTCACCAAGATAGATTTTGATGTCTCTAGGCCATTTATCAGAGAGGAATGATTGCTGAGAGGAATGATTGCTGTTGTTATTATTATATCATTTTAAAGAAAGACAGCATTGAAGCAGAATCCTAGGTTGTATAGTAATACTTAGCAAAAGCTAAACTCAAGAGGTCTAAAGTGAAAAAAGAACATCCCTGTGTGAGCAGACTGCACCGGGCAATGACAGTCTGTGACCATGAAATGTAAGGCAGCCAGAGCCCAAACCATCCCGTTAGCCATACCAGTCAAGAGTCAGCACTGGTGTTACTGAACCACACTGGGGCCTGCTCACCTGGCACAGTAAAGCCAGACACTGGTGCTGAGAGTTGCAATGGGAGAAAGAGGCACTTTGTTGCACGGTGCCATGCAAGGAGAATGGGGAGCTGGGGCTTAAGACTTCAACTCCCCAGTGCCTTACAAGCCAGAGTGTTTTAAGGCAGGGGTACATTTCAGGAAAGCAGAAGTCGACAAATCATAATTCAGTACATGGAGGTTATATGTTGGTTTGGGCCAAAAGGGCAGGATATCTTGAAGGTGGGGCAGTACTAACCGGTCATAGGTAGATTCAGAGATTCTTTGATTAGCGGAAAGGAATGTTAAGGTGAATATGACTTTCTCCAGGCCCCTCAGGAAGAAATTTAGAACAAAGAATGGTGGTTAGAGTTCAGTCAGTCCTCAGTTTCCTATTATTTGCATTTTTCATCTGATGGAGGTTTCTGAAAAACAACTCAAAACCATATGTTGCAGGAGTCCTCAAACTACAGCCCTCAGGGCCACATGTGGCCCACCGAGGACATTTATCCAGCCCAGGTGTTTTTGCCGCCGCTGCCTGTCCTGCTGAGCAGCTGACTCATCCCAGGCCCACAGTGCGCATGTGTGGAATGTGCGCCGCACTCTCCAAAGGCCCTCCAACGGTCTGAGGGACAGTGAACTGGCCCCCTGTTTAAAAAGTTTGAGGACCCCTGTTAGGTGTTATCTTTCATTTTTGTAGGGAACTACAGCACCTTGTAACTCTGGCTTGCTGGGAGGACTATTGTAATTACCATTTTCTTGTTTAGCAGGTTGTTCATTTACTTTTCAAGGCCAGGTAGGTGCTTGGGATTTCCCTGGAAGGGACTCAAGATTTTTTCTTTATTTCCATGCCTGGGTGGGGGCCCCAGTAGGCCCCTAAGAGAGGTCCCTGCTCCATCTCACTGGGTCCTTGTTGAAGTAAAATGGAAACTGTGCCTAGCAGAGTGTCTCTGGTATATTATATACACTCAACAAATAGCTGTTGAATGAATGAATGACTTTGAAATCCTCTGAGGATTTTTCACAATTCATTCTGTGTATTGTGCACACATTGATCCTCATTGAGGGTATTGTAATCGGCTCCATGAACAGACACAAAATGACATCCCTCCATATGTGCTTTCCCTGTAGCTTTCCTATGCTTGGGATTCCCAGGCCTGCAGAACTCAATGACCAGAACATTATAACCTTTCTGTTTAACTAACCCTTTTACCTTTTTGTTGTTGAAACCACCAGAGGGTTTCAGTCTAGGTCCATTTGCTTGTCGCACAAAGATCCAATTATTGAGACGATAGGGATTGTCAAGGAAGAAAGGAATGTTTATTACAACAGATGTCTTGTGGGGAGAATGGGAAAAGCTGCCTCAAATGCATCTCTCTGACTAGTGTAGATCACGAGCTAGCAAAGGAGGGGCTACGTGCCTTGGGGCAGGTTGTGGTCTAACTAACAAAGGGCTACGTGCACTCAGACAGGTCAAGTGCATTGGGGCAGGTCATGGCAGGTGGTGATTCTTTTTTTTTTTTTTTTTTTTTTTTTTTGAGACAGTAGTTTCAACTTGTGCCCAGGCTAGGAGTGATCCATGGCGTCAGCCTAGCTCAAGCAATCTCAAACCTCCTGGCGCTCAAGCGATCCTACTGCCCTCAGCCTTCCCGAGTAGCTGGGACTACAGGCATGCCCCACCATCGCCCGGCTACCAGTTGTTCTCTATAGTCTATTTTAGGTTGGCCAATAATTGGTCTTTCTAATGTTTACGTAGGGGGTTGTCCCGCTCAGTGCTGGTTTTGGGAACTCCCTGACCTTAGGTGCCGAATCCTTCCTGCAGCTCCCAAGAGCTGTCGTAGGATTACAGGCGTGAGCCACCATGCCCGGCAGGGTAGTGATTCTTGGAACAGAATCCTTGGCTGGATGGGGTTTTGGATCGTCAACTTCTTTGTCTTGGAGAACATCGCCAGAAGTCTGGGAAATAACTCTAAAGGTCAAGTAGTTAGTTAAGGGAGAAAACTACATAGGGGTCATTGAAATGTGTTCAGTGCACCCCCCTCCCATTACATTTTGAGTTTTTTCCCCAGAAATGGCAGACTCTTCACAGGATAACAATGCCAAGACTCACCATCCACTGCCAACCTGTGACTTCTGAATAAGACCTCCTGCACGTGTTATGTTCAACACAACCTGCCCCAGTACACGTAGCCACTTTCCTGAAGCCCTTATAAAAACACCTACCTTGGCCTAGTGCGGTGGCTCATGCCTATAATGCTAACACTCTGGAAAGCCAAGGCAGAAGGATTGCTCAAGGTCAGGAGTTTGAAACCAGCCTGAGCAAGAGCAAGACCCCATCTCTACTAAAAATAGAAAGAAATTAATTGGCCAACTAAAAATATATAGAAAAAATTAGCCAGGCATGGTGGCGCATGCCTGTAGTCCCAGCTACTCGGGAGGCTGAGGCAGGAGGATTGCTTGAGCCCAGGAGTTTGAGGTTGCTGTGAGCTAGGTTGACGCCATGACACTCAACCCCGGGCAACAGAGTTAGACTGTGCCTCAAAAAAAAAAAACCCAAAAAATCAGCTACCTTAAGTTGGTTGGGAGATGAATTTGAGGCATTCCTCCCATCTCCCAGGTGATGTCAGGTGATGTCATCTGTAATAAATTACCTTTCTTCCTTGACAATGCTTCTTGTCTTGGCTTTCTGTGTGGCAAGCAGTCGGACGCAGGCCAGACCCCCGCTTGTGTGTCTGGTACCAGTATGTGTTTTAAAATGTTCCCCGGGATTTATTTTAATCAGGTATGGTAAGACACAAAAGTGAGTATCATGAAGGAAGTTTTTATATGATACATCCCTAGAAATGGGGCACACCACACCATGCAGGGCCACACAGAGAAGCAGCAGGGTCGTTTAGGAGCAGAGGGAGTGAAGGGAAAGCCTGGCAGTGGCCTTTATTATGGTTTTTGCAGGAAGGAATGAGAGAGTCAGCATGCTTCCAATTGGCTAGTTTGAGTAACTTCAGTGGACTCTGGGGTGAAAACACTATTCTGAGTAGTCTGGTATCCCTAGGAATTAGCTAACCCTGGTAGGGACAGTTCCTGCCTAGTCACGAGGCCCCAGATGCCAGAGCATCAAGAGTTAATGCAGCGTGGGTCCAGGCATTCTTATACTTCTTTTACTGCTCTTCCCTCTTATTTTCCTTCTTCTTCAGCTAGGCTGGACCTTCCCAGATTCAGAGACTTGGGATTCAGAAGCCCAAAGAAGCAAACACATAAGTGGTTTTTGAGTCTTTTCCCTCTGGGCAGGCTACATGATATACTTGTCCAATTCAAGTCTCAAGTTTATCTTTGGGTTGAGATAGTGTTTCAACTATTTTATTCACTGCTGTAGTGTAGTCAGGCTAGCAGTTTCTGAGTAAGGTAACTTTTTGTTTGTTTGTTTGTTTGTTTTTAGAGCTAGGGTCTCACTCTGTTGTCCAGGCTAGAGTGCAGTGGTGTTATCATAGCTCATTGCAACCTCAAACTCCTGGGCTCAAGGGATTGTTCTGTCTCAGCCTACCAAGTAGCTAGAACTACAGGTAAATGCCACCACACCAGGCTAATTTTTCTATTTTTTTTTTTTAGAGACAGGGTCTCGTTATGTTGCTCAGGCTGGTCTCAAACTCCTGACCTCAAGAGATCCTTCCACCTCAGCCTCCAAAAGTGCTACATTACATACATGAGCCACCTTCTCCAGCCATGAATAAGGTAACTTTGTAAATTGCACTGAAAAGATGGATTATTAACCATTTTGGTACCACGCTTACCAGCCGCAAAACCTTGCCCACAGCCGGCACTCATAGTCCGCACAATAGTCTGTGCTGTGCGTTGACGATGAATCCATTTTGCTCTTGTGTGATGAGGAAAGCTTTTAAGCACTGAAAGCTTGTTTTACTTTATAGGCAGCTTTACTTGTAATGTAAATCAGAATAGGTAGCATATACATATATGTTTTCATTACATTATTTTTAAATGTTCACAATATTATTTTGATAAATGAAAAATTAGAAAAGTCATATCACGGCTGTCAGCTAAAGTCACTGTGTGCGTTCATCTGTGGCTATCAACTATAGTCGACACTTGTACCGAAGTGGTTAAGAAGAGTGTTGAATATTTGCCTTAATTCCACAATCTCATATATGTATAAACACAGGAGTGTGTGTTTCTGAAATAGAAACCTAAGTCCTATGAGGCAACACTTCACTATTCAACTTTTTAAGAGTCAGCCAGTTCAACTTTTTTTTTTCCTTTGAGACAGAGGTTCACTTTTGTTGCCTACCGGCTAGTGTGGAGTGCCGGTGGCGTCAGCCTAGCTCACAGTAGCTCACAGCAACCTCAAACTCTGCGTCAAGCAATCCTGCTGCCTCAGCCTCCTGAAGTGTGGACTACAGCATGCATGCGCACATGCCGGCTAATTTTTCGTATATTATTTAGTTGGCCAATTAATTTCTTTCTATTTATAGGAGTCTTGGCTCAGGCTGGTTTAGAACTCCTGACCTCGAGCAATCCACCCGCCTCGGCCTCCCAGAGTGCTAGGATTACAGGCGTGAGCCACCTTGCCCAGCCTCCAGTTCAATTTTTAATCCTAGCTCCAACCCTTGTTAGCTGTATGACTTTGGACTGACTGTTTAGCTTCTCCATGCCTTTGTTTTCTCACCTATAAAATGGGGTTCACAATTATAGTACCTATTAAACAATTTGTTGCGAGAGATAAATGTGATATTGATAAAATGCTTAGGAAGTGCCTGGCATATAGAATGATCAGTAGATGAAGCTATTCTTATACTTAATGATTCTTATAAAGTATACATATGGATTGAATGGAAACCAGTTTTGCTACAAAGGCAAAGTTGCTCATGGAATTGATTCTGTTGGATGAACATTGTATTTGCCATAGCAATTGCAGTGGAGTAAAATGAGGTGATTAGCAAAAGATATAATTTTTAAAAGAGAAATTTGGGAGAGGGCATAGATTGCATTCTTCTGATTTGTTTATTGAACTTTTTTTCATTTAAAAGTTTTAGAATGACTAATTTTCCATCATCAACAACCTCTTTTTAAACAAAACTCTTAGTAATTCCTTGAATAATTTTTATGTTAAAAAAATAGCAGCGTTCTAAACTCTAACTTTTCAAATGCACAATAAGAGAACTTATTGTTTTCCCCTGGGTAGCACACCCACTGGGTTAGTCACAAATAGCTATATTAAGGATGTTGTTCACATTTTTTAAACACTAGCAATTCTGACCCACCCAGTTCAGCCTTTTAAATGCAATCTGACTTGAAACATTTTTTTATTCCTCATAAAAAAATAAGAAACCCGTATCATTTGGAATATGAGCAAAATAATATATAATATCTTGCTTTTAATTGCAGCAAAGTGCATCATAGAGTATAAACTGGCATTGAAGTGTGCTATTATGCAGGCAAGCTCTTTTACTGTGATTCAGTGTGATGCCTAATCCTATTAGTGCACTACAAAGAACAACATGTAAAAAGTATGCTCTTTCAGCTGCAAATAACAAATGAAATTTTAAAGTAGTCTAACAAGTTGAAATGACCTCAATATCATACTAATTGAGTCAATTAGTCAATTTCTTTAATGCTGATATTAGTCTCCTATGAGTAATCCTCAGACCTAAGTAAAATGTGGATGAACTTGGGTAATTCTGGGTGGAGAAGCCCGCTGGGTGGGTCTGGAGTGAAGAGTATTTCTCCCACTGGATTTCTTTGTTCTGCTTCTGTACCCCAGCACCATTAGCCAGCCTGACGGCTGCTTACGGAACACACAGCTACTGCTGCCCTTTGCCATCTTTTCAAAATGTCTAGGAAAGTTTTGTAGAGAGATACCAGCACTGAACACTGGCAACCTATAGTTCCAACTGAGCAATTCATTCATTCAGTAAGTATTTTTATAGTGCCCAGAATGGACAAAACTATGCTGGGTGCTAAGGCACAGCAGTGAATAAGAAAGACAAGGTCCTGCCCTCGTGATATTAAATAACTAATCCTAGCATTCATTCACTCATAGTTCTGTCGTGGGTCTCTCCTTGAACTGTGGGGTGCAGTTGAGAGTAGGAGAAGAGAAGCAGAGGCCTGTCACAGAACTGCTAGAATGTGAATGAGGGACAGCCAGTAGCCACCTGCCCATCACTGGGAGAGAGCCTACATTCAGCTTAGAGAGAGAGACAGACAGAAAGAGAGAGAGACAGACAGACAGACAGACTGACTGAAAGATGGAGGGGGGATGAGGGAGGGAGGGAAGGGAGAGAACAAGAAAGGAAGGAGGGGAACAGAGAGAGAGAAGGAAAGACCTTCTTAGTACATCATATCAGATGGCACGTGATGTCAGTTTATCCCATTTCTGGTGATGTTGATTTTTATGACTTAGATAAGGTGATACAGAACACGTTTCTCCACTGTAAAGTTAACTGCTAAATATCTTGCACTTCCTCTCACTAGTGTTAGCATCCATTGATGATTTCTGTTTGAGATAATTAACACTATGATTTTTGCCAAACGGTGATTTTTTTCTGTGTCCGTTATTCCTTCTACATTTATTAGTTGACATTCTAGTGTCAGATAGAACTTTTCCTTCTTCCTCACATATTTGTTCATTTATGTATATCAATATTTGCTCATGGATTCCTGTTTTAATTAGTTTTGATCCATTACAATCATTAACTACAATTTAGCTGTTCAAATTTTCCCAGATTTAGCCAATGGAAGCCCCTTTACGATGGTTCCTGTACTATTTGATAGTTTTCACTGAGTACTTCTTTACTTTCTGATACAATTGTTCTAGGCTCATCTAGGGTGTTTCCTTCCATTGACCTTGGATCATTCAGATTTCTGAGGAGATATGATTCCTTTAGAGGAGACTGGTATTCAGAAACCAAAATCTGGGCACTAGGTATATTCATTGCTACTGGGATTCATTGCTTCTAGGCTCTGTCAGCAGATAGAGCTATGACATATATGTATATATCTACGCACACACATAAATATATGTACATCTATATCTATCTGTATGTCTCTATACATCTCCAATTCCAGTACAACTCCACAAGGTTAATTCTTTCTTCTCTTCCATTTTTGTACCTACCTTCTCCAGCATTAAGAAATCTGCCTCCCATTATTCTCCACATAGTCACTTATTTGCATAATCCCCCAGTATACAACCAATTTCTGGTCACATTGGTCATAATCTCTTCTCCCGGACTCTCTTTATAAATGCTGGCCAACTGGGTCCAGTCTGCTTGCTGAACCTGACACCATCCCCAAGCCTGGGCCATGCCCATATCCCAGATAGCTATGAATTTAAATGCCAAACTTCAACTCGATACAGCTCCTTTTTTTTTAAAAGATCGGGAGATCAGGTCTTGCCCAGGCTGGTCTTGAACTCCTGGCCTCAAGTTATCCTCCTACCTTGCCCTCCCAAAGTGTTGGAATTATATGCATGAGCCACTCCACCTGGCCAATACAGCTTTTTAAATAGTCTTTGTTTCAGCTATTTTTTAAAAAAGTGATTGAGACTATTTTGATTATGTCATCCACTACATTAGCTGTCCTTCCTAGTTTTGGGCTACCCAAGCATTTAATAAATTTTTACTCAAGTTGTTGATAAAATCTTGAACACAATAGGGGCAAGATTTTCTTGCTATTAAATATATTCTTTCCAGGTGGAATTACTACATTAATATACACTCTTCATAGGTTATTGTTCAACTAGCTTCAAACGTACTTTTAATGCCCATCTGATTTGGCATTTATTCATTGTGACCACAAGTATATTTGGAGATATGCTTTCTAATACTGTGCCAAAATTAAATTGCATTCTCTCTATGCATAGTGTAGTTCCTTTATTTAAAAAATTATGTCAGTTTGACCTAAGATGTTATTAATGAACTTAAGCTGGCTTCTGCTACTCCTTGCTTTATTGTCAGAGGGGTTAAGTAACTTGCTCAAAGTGTAGCCAGCAAGTGAAGACCTGGAATTTGAACCCAGACTGGTATATCTCTAAAGCCTTGCTCTTGACACAATGCCTCCATCAGCTTGCGTGGGGTTGGGGGAAAGGTCCTCCTCTTTCTGTTTTTACATTATGCCAATTTAATGAGATATTGTCAGAGTGCAAGTCTTGGCTCATAGGCACACTCAAGAGCAAGACAAGGGTAAGTTTGATGGGCCCAGGAGTTGCCACTGCAATTCCCCAGGGGGTGTAAAAGCAGCCATTCTTAATGGTGGTTGAACCTCTTACCAAGATGTACTGCTGAATTGTCCATTTGATGTATAGATTGAAACCTTTTAGAAAGGTAAGTGTGCATCTCTTAAAAAGTAAAGCATTTCTTAAATACGATTATGAAATTAAATTATTCGTCCATGTGAAATATTTACCCAACATTATTTTATCTTTCAGAATATCAACATTTCAAATATTATGGAGTCCAGTGCAGCTTTTTAGTTCAAGGAGAGAGAAGAATTTTTTATTGTTGTTTTCTTCTTTTTAAACACCTTTAATCTGAGGCTCACCAAAGCTTAGAAATGCCACAAAAGTCACTTAAGACATGTTCATGCACTTGATAAAGGTATCTTTACCAGACCAAAAAAAAAAAAAGAGAGAGAGAGAGAAGAGATAACAAACAATAGTCTCCTGAAGTATAGGAGTTGTCTGGTTGAGGCTGTGTTTGCTGGATTTCGTAGAAAGTTGGATGCAAAGATCACATTCTTGACATTGTGGTCCTGTTGGAGGGGTGGGTGAGCACAGAGGAAGTGGAAGGATCCTGAACAAAGGAAGATTTAAATTGACAAGCAGGGAGAAAAATCCCTGCAGAGGCGTCTGTAAATGCAAGAGAAGTGGTGGGAGTCCTCCCCGGAATACTTAGAGACGCACTGCACAAAAAACAGAGGCGCTTCTATGGGGAAGAATCTTAACCCAGCAGCCACTCAGCCAAGCCCGCCTGCTGGGACTCGCACCCGCTGCTGCGTGGCTCTCTGCGCTCCTGGGGTAAGGGCCGCCCGCGGCTGCCTCTCTGGGAAAATGGCCCTGCCCCACCCCAAGTCCTCAGGGTGCCTGGGGATGCATACCCCAGAAGCTGGGCACCCACAGGGCCCTTGAAAAGAACCCTGCCAGTTTGTTCATACAAATACACTTTCTCCACCAAATCGCCATGCAAAAGTAACGTTCCCATCCCTGGTATCATCGAATAAATCTAGATATTTTCTCCTGGTTTTATTTACGGTTCAGAAAACATTTGTTGCCAAAACTACTGGTGCATCCCTTCCCCCCATCTAGTCTCCATTTCTTCCATGGAAATGGAAGCACAGCGTTGAACTGGACACAAAGCTGCCTGGAATAAAGCCTTCATTGTCCAGCTTTTCTCTGAGCTGCAAGCAGCAATGGGAGTAAGTTCTGGCCAGTGATTTATAAGGAGAAGTGCTACTGGTCAACTCCCAGGAAAACATCCTTAAAAGATCATGTGTGTGTGCCCTGCACCTGCTCCTGGGAACATGGATATAATGGCTGGTGCTTCAACCATCACATTGCACCATGAGGATGGAAGCCACAGCCTAAGGTTGGAAGAGAAGTAAGCTAGAAAGAGCTGCTTTCTGAGGCCTTAGTAGAACAAAGCCACCATCCTAACCCTGGATTACAAACCATCCGTGAAGACAAATAAATTGTAATTTGGGGAAAGTTTCTTTCATCCGCAGCCAATGCTAGTCCTACCTGATATTGGTACAAATTAATATAACGATTAGTATAAGAAATGCAAGAAAGAAGTCACTGACCATCTGCTCATACTAACACTTTGGCTTTTTCTTTTTATCACATGTGCTCTCAATCCTGCTCTGTAATACTGACCCACAGTTTAGGGGAATTGTCAGGTTCTCAACCTGTCTACCTGAACATCGACCTAGAAAAAAATGTATCTAAGTGAAAATACAGCCAATTCTACTAACATGAAGGTGTCAGGCAAAGCAGACAACAGCCTGTGCATGTATTTATTTTTAAGCTTCTTTAAGGCACTAAAGGAGCTAAAGAATTTCTGGAATTGAAGACTCTGGTCCCATTAATGTGTCCCTCCTCTCTGGACTCCCCTATTCTCTGTTCCCTCAGATATATGGGATTAGAACTCAGGAGAGAGACAGGCTAGAGAAATAATATGGGAGTCATCAACACATAGGTGACAAGGGGAGCAAAGGCCTGGATATAATTGTGCAAGAAGGACATGGTGAGCAGAGGGCCTCTGAGAGTACTGCAGAAATTTCAAATTTCAGTAACAGGTAGAGAAAGAGAACCCCAGAACAAAGACTGTGAAGGAGTGGTCAAAGTTGCCGCAGGAAAAAAAACAACAACAAAAAACCCCAAAACATTATCAGTGTCTTTTGTTGATCATCTGGTAAACAGTACCAACTTCTTGTCATCTGGGAAATAAGATGAATTGATTGACGGTTACTTGGATCTAGTAACTAGGAGATCACGTCAGATGCAGGAGCTGTATCAGGTGGCAGGAAAGGGGTGGGGGGGGGATGGGGCAGGGGACTTTGGGCAGGAATTGGAGCTGAGATACTGCCCATAGACGTATCCAAGGCTACATCCAGCACACAAACCAATTGGGCTGGTTTTTGTTTGCATTCAAATGGCAGAGTCAGTTAAAAAGCCAGGTGTGGGATTGATCAGATTTTTCAAGTCCTTTGGAGCAAATTAATACTTGTGTGCAAGCCCAACCTGTTAGTGGAAAGAGAAAACTGCAAAGCAGCCCTTCTTGGAGGGAAAAGTCTTCTTTATTTCAGGCACCACAGTCCTGCCAAAGTCCTTCTGAGGGGCATGTATCTGGGAAAGGGAGAGAAGCATTAACCCTAACCCTAACCCTAACCCTAGCTTGAGTGTTCACATTGGCATTGACCTATGCCATTAGGCATGAGCTTCTAAGCAACTGCTCTGTTGTATCCAGAACTGGGCACTTCCCACATGGAGGGAAGATGGAAAATGGGAGGGAGCAAGTTCCTGAGAAACTGACCTGCCTTTTGGAGCTGAAATTGGGATGGAAATTTAAAACTTGGAAGACTTTCCATTTTCCCCCCTGTTTATATTTTCTATAATTGTTTCCCTTTTGCTAAAACTTGGTATTTTGTAAAGTTCTCTATTCATGGAAAGACAGTTTCTTCATTTTATCTGCTTCTCAGTGCCTTGCATTATCTCTTGCTAAATATATTTCACCATTTTATTTACTTTGGGCTGAAGCACTGACACCATCCCCACATCCAACTCCAAGCTGCACATTTCAAAGATAAATCACTGTAATTATTTATTCTCTTGAAAAGGAACAGGAGGTGTAAAAGCCAAACTAATGTGCACCTTTAGCCCACACTTTGGAAACCGATTGCTGGGAACCCTTAAGTTTGGCTCTGTATTTCCAGATCCTCTAATAGTGTGAGCTAATTGAGGTTTGTGGAATGAGTTGGGAAATTTTACTTATTTTTCAAAAGCTACCAACCATAACTGTATGTTTATAAGGGTTTTTATTGAGTCCTAGTTTGCCGAAATTACACAGGGGTTTTGGCCTAGGTTTAGTTGCTCCTTGCACAAAGATCCAATTACTGAGACAATGAGGATTGCCGAGGAAGACAGGAATTTTTTTTTTACTACGAGAATTTTTTTTTTAATACAACAGATGTCTTGTCGGGAGAAAGGGAGAGGCCATCTCAAATCTGTCTCTCCAACTAACCAAGATCATGGGCTTTTAAAGGAGTGGTCATGTGCGCTGGGGCAGGTCGTGGTGTAACTAACAAGGGGCTTTGTGCATTGGGGGCAGGTTGTGGGGGGTGGCGAATCTTGGCCCTGGCATTGGAAGGTCTGGCCAGGGGCCTTCAGAATCTCAGCTCTTTCGTCTTGCAGAAAATCCACCGTTTCTGGGAAACAATTCAAAAGGTCAAGTAGTTAGTTAAGGGAGAGGATCACAAAAAACATATGGGGGTCCTTGAAATGTGTTACAATACAGTATCAAGCCTCAGGGTTGGCTAGTTCATCAAACAAGCTCAGAAAGAAACTGAAAATTAGAGGTTTAGAATTGAGGGAGAACTTTCAAAGCTAGGGCTAAAGAAGTTTTTATTAGGGTGCCTTGGTTTATTTTTAGAAAGCAATTTTTTTCTCACTAGCAATTTTCTTAGGTAACTTAAAAATGTAATCATAATCACAAATTCTAAAAGAAAAGAAAAGGAAGTTTGTTAAAAATTATTTCCTGTTTCAGTTTGAGGTAGAAAGAGAGGCATTCTGAAAAAAATTTTTTTCGGGTAAATGAATAAACAATGGCCCACGATTCAGTGGTACCTTGAATTGACTTTGTAAGGACAATGTGCTTAAAGGCAATCAGTGTTTTTGCTCAGGAGATGTACCAACATTGGAGTCTTAATGTTGAGTACAACCTCTTACCCTACGATAGTTGCCAAGTTCTACTAAAAAAGTATTTTTTTTTTCTGCTGCAAAAATTTCTTGGTTCATTGTTGGGGAGCACCTCCCAGGCCCTTGGGAAAAAGCCTTGGCTGGTCAGAAGTGGTTCATGTTTTAATTCTCTCTATTCCTGCCCTTGTTATTTTAAATGTTTTCAAAATGCAGTCTTCTAATTGCATGACATACAAGGAAATCTTGGTGGAAAATACTAGGGGGTAGCTCATTCTCACATAAGCAATTTATTTTAAGATGATAGAAACTAACCACAAGAAGAAGCCAAGAAAATAATTTACACAGTTCTAATTCATTGAGTGCCAGTTTTCTGAAAGCTAATTTATAGAATAATCTGATATATCAAATTTACATGAATAACCTGATATATCAAATTTATATGAATTTATAAAATTTACTAATAGTGAATTTAGTAAGAATGTTAAGTTCAGGCCGGGCGAGGTAGCTCACGCCTGTAATCCTAGCACTCTGGGAGGCCAAGGCAGGCAGATTGCTCGAGGTCAGGATTCGAAACCAGCCTGAGCAAGAGTGAGACCCCGTCTCTACTATAAATACAAAGAAATTAATTGGCCAACTGATATATATAGAAAAAAATTAGCTGGGCATGGTGGCATATGCCTGTAGTCCTAGCTACTTGGGAGGCTGAGGCAGCAGGATTGCTTGAGCCCAGGAGTTTGAGGTTGCTGTGAGCTAGGCTGATGCCACGGCACTCACTCTAGCCTGGGCAACAAAGCGAGATTCTGTCTCAAAAAAAAAAAAAAGAATGTTAAGTTCACTATTTGCTTTCACAAGATGTTCAACTTTTCAAAATTTCAGCATTTCCTATGGGAATCCTTCAGTTCGTACTTTTTTCTTCATATACAAGATTGGGAGCTGGGTGCACATTCCTGTAGTCCCAGCTGCTCAGGAGGCTGAGGCAGGAGGATTGCTTGAGGCCAGGAATTCAAGAGCAGCCTAAGCAAAATAGTGAGACTACGATTCTAAAAAAAAAAAAACAACAAAAAATTAACCCAGTGTGATGGCATATGCCTGTAGTCCCAGCTACTCAGGAGGCTTAGATGAGAGGATTACTTGAGCCCAGGGTTTGGAGTCTGCAGTGACCTGTGATTGTGGCACTGCGCTGTAGCCTGGACAACAGAGCGAGACTCCATCTCTAAATATACACGCACACACACTATACACAAGATTGTTTTAGCTAAATTCCAGTTTCTTTTAGATTGCTTTAAACTTGAAATTAAAATTTAAAGCTGACAGAGCTGTGAAAACATTCCTGTTAAGGCTATTAAATATGTAAGCAAAATTGATAAATCTACTAAGCTGATTGTTTGGCGGGTTTACTTGGCGTGAACTTGACATGTGATGACTGGACTGAGACTTCCACCCCCATAGTGTAGTGTGTACACTGCACAAATCCAGGGAGTGCCATTTATATCAACTATGATATGAATGAGGTTAGAATTGTGCAACACAGAGACCCTAAAGCCAACCTGGATCCTATGATGTCTGGCCACAGCCAAGTGGCAAGTTGGGAGCTCTATTTACTAGACCAGGAATTCTAGTCTGCTGTGGAGGAGCACACATATTCTAGGAGTTCAAACCAAGGGGATGAAACAGAGTGAATGGCACAGCTTGCATGGTATGTGCTATAGACTTTGTGTATCCCCCAAAATTCATGTTAAATCCTGGTACTCAATGTGATGATATCTAGAGATAAGGCCTTTGGGAGGTGATTAGGTCATGAGGGTGGTACCCTCATAGTGGAGATTAGTGCC